TGCATTCATGAAGTCATTAATAAAGTTGAGAGAGCCTGTTCCAGAGACAGCCATTCATGCCCATGCCATGACACCACCGCCACCATGCTTTACAGATGAGGTTGTATGTATCATTTGCGGTTCCTTTTTTCTCTCCACACTTTTGCTTTCCCATCACTTAACAGTGTCCATAAAACCGTTCCAAAATTCTACTGGCTCACCTTTGTGCTTTTTTGCTAACTCTAATCTTGCCTTTCCATGTTTGCTGCTGATCAGAGGTTTGCATCTTGTTCTGCTGTGGAAGTCTCTTGCAGACAGTAGATTGTCAGACCATCACTCCAGCTTTCTGGAGGTTGTTGGTGATTTTACGGACACTTATTTTATGGTTTCTTATTCACAGCTTTGATGATTTGTCTATTATCATTGGCTGTAGTTCTTCTCAGCCAACCAGGTCATTGTTGGTTGCTGTAGTCGCCGGTGGTTTTATTCTTATTCTCCAAACTGTTGACTTCTCCATGTCCATTGTTTTTGACATCGCTCTAATTGAGTTCCTCTTTTCTTTTAGCATCCAAATTGCTTGCTCCCTCGTCTTCATCCTGGTTTGTGTGTCGTCATCAAATACAAGACTCAGAATGCAGAAGCAATGGCTATAACTGATACAGCACATTCCCTGCTTTTAATATCTGAACAATTAATGCAACAGGACACAGCTGATCATTAAGAAAGACCTGTGAGTCAACTGCCCCAATACTTATGCTCACATCAGATAGGGGGTGAAACTCTAAAAGTGCTGACCTTCTTAGTTGGTAAAACATCTGTGTTGAATCACCCAATAAAAAATAAAAAAGTGACATTCGGTACTTTTGTATCATTCATATTTTAATCATATTTGCAGATGTCTTGACTCCACAGCAGACAAAGCAATTTTGTCATTACTGTTCCAATACTTATGGAAGGCACTGTATATCTGATTTCATGAATGCAATGACCAATCAAAGGTATTTAAGTCAGAATATACAGTACCTCACAGAAGTGAGTACACCCCTCACATTTTTGTAAAGATTTTATTATATCTTTTCATGTGACAACACTGTAGAAATTACACTTTGCTACAATGTAAAGTAGCGAGTGTACAGCTTGTACAAGTGTACATTTGCTGTCCCCTCAAAATAACTCAACACAGCCATTAATGTCTAAACCGCTGGCCATAAAAGTGAGTACACCCCTAAGTGAAAATGTCCAAATTGGGCCCAAAGTGTCAATATTTTGTGCGCCCACCATTATTTTCCAGCACTGCCTTAACCCCCTTGGGCATTGAGTTCACCAGAGCTTTGCAGGTTGCCACTGGAGTCCTCTTCCACTCTTCCATGACGACATCACAGAGCTGGTGGATGTTAGAGACCTTGCGCTCCTCCACCTTACGTTTGAGGATGCCCAAACTTGGCCAATCCATCACCTTTACCCTCAACTTCTTTAGCAAGGCAGTGTTCATCTTGGAGGTGTGTTTGGGGTCATTATCATGTTGGAATACTGCCCTGCGGCCCAGTCTCCGAAGGGAGGGGATCATGCACTGCTTCAGTATGTCACAGTACATGTTGGCATTCATGGTTCCCTCAATGAACTGTAGCTCCCCAGTGCCGGCAGCACTCATGCAGCCCCAGACCATGACACTCCCACCACCATGCTTGACTGTAGGCAAGACACACTTGTCTTTGTACTCCTCACCTGGTTGCCGCCACACGCTTGACACCATCTGAACCAAAGTTTATCTTGGTCTCATCAGATTACAGGACATGGTTCCAGTAATCCATGTCCTTAGTCTGCAGCAAACTGTTTGCGGGCTTTCTTGTGCATCATCTTTGGAAGAGGCTTCCTTCTGGGACGACAGCCATGCAGACCAATTTGATGCAGTGTGCGGCGTATGGTCTGAGCACTGACAGGCTGACCCCCCACCCCTTCAACCTCTGCAGCAATGCTGGCAGCACTCATACGTCTATTTCCCAAACACAACCTCTGGATATGACGCGGAGCACGTGCACTTAACTTCTTTGGTCGACCACGGCAAGGCCTGTTCTGAGTGGAACCTGTCCTGTTAAACGATGGTCTTGGCCACCGTGCTGCAGCTCAGTTTCAGGGTCTTGACAATCTTCTTATAGCCTATGCCATCTTTATGTAGAGCAACAATTATTTTTTTCAGATCCTCAGAGAGTTCTTTGCCAAGAGGTGCCATGTTGAACTTCCAGTGACCAGTATGAGAAAGTGAGTGTGATAACACCAAATTTAACACACCTGCTCCCCATTCACACCTGAGACCTTGTAACACTGATGAGTCACATGACACCGGGGAGAGAAAATGGCTAATTGGGCCAAATTTGGACATTTTCACTTAGGGGTGTACTCACTTTTGTGGCCAGCGGTTTAGACATTAATGGCTGTGTGTTGAGTTATATTGAGGGGACAGCAAATGTACACTGTTATACAAGCTGTACACTCACTACTTTACATTGTAGCAAAGTGTAATTTCTTCAGTGTTGTCACATGAAAAGATATAATAAAATATTTACAAAAATGTGAGGTGTACGTACTTCTGTGAGATACTGTATATGAAAAAAATATATTATTAGTACTCACTTCATAGTATATTGTCAATCCCTGTATATTGACCGCCGTATCTAAGTATTTGTGATTGGGGCTTCTTTCACATCTCTCATGCTGTAATTTATACTTTTCATGATTACTAAAACTATTGTAATCATAATTATTCTTTTCAATTAATTGGCAGGGATAGTCTTTTAGTGGTTGTGCTCATCTTGCACAAATGTATAAATGTAATAGCCCAAAATCTATTATCAGTCAGCCCGTATTGAGACACACTAGCAGATGACATCTGACCTCTCCCCGAAAGACAGCTATTTAACTGGCACCACAACAGATTTCACCAGCTTGCAACAAAGAGGTTTCCGTCAACCTCTGCTTTCACATGGATCAAAATAATCAAGCCCTGAGAGAAGAATCATAAGCTTTCAGATGCTTTGTTGGGACATGTTCGCTGCGCTATTCTCCTCAGGCATTTAAGGCCATGATTTACTTTACAGGAACAGGTCTTTACCATTGTATGCAAGAGCATACTTGTGTTTTCATGTAATTAGTTTCTTCCTCTCTGTCTTACTGAGCTACATGTCCTAAGCTTCAGCTTTGTCAACTAGTCAGCTTTGTGCCTGCTGAAATAAGTTTCTTACTGATGTCTGTAAAGCTCAGTCTAGTCTGGGCATGGAGCTGTGTGGTACCTGATTGGTTCTGGCTGCCCTGAACTCTGAGAGATATGTTTGAGTGACAAACAGAATGACAGTCTGACTCTGGTTTTCATTTGGTTCATTCAGATGTTTTTGGATAATTCAAGCATTCTTCTGGGGGGGGGGAAAACAGCATGGCGCGCTTTTTCTCAGCGTCCGTTTCCATAGTGACTCATCAATTTGTTGCGCTGTTGAGAAGGTTTAGAGTCTTAACCAGGAATATACTCTGGGTTGAGTGAACTTACTCCTGGACGCGTTTTTGGAACCACATACCTAGAGTAAGCAAGGTTTTGGGTTAATCAACCGAAAGTTCAGGGTTTAGCAGATGGTAAGTTAACCGTGCTTTCTGGAATACACCCCTGGACTGCATCACTTGAAAATCAAGCCTGAGCTCTCCTGAGCATTCGTGCTCCTCAGTGATGGACTCAAATCTCCCAAAAAGGGGTCATGACATGAGAAACCAAATTTTCCTTGATCTTTTGAGATATAGGAGGCATTTGTTCCACTTAAACATCCTCCACATTAGAAAACTCTACAAAAATATCTGGTTTGGATATTGTGGGCGATCTATAACGTCACACAGACAAATACATTTGCATATGACTGACTTCTATGTTTTTTATATTTAAAGAATTTGCCACTGACGGTTCAAACGCAAGTTTTTGGGCAGTGTAGAGTAGCACTTGTGGTTTGTCATTTCTCCGATCACAAATGCAGGCATGGTTTTATGTTTACGCGGCACGATGCGATGCAACGCAACGCGTAAAAAGATACATTTTTTGATAGATCATTATAATCCATAATTATGTCCCCACTGGATGCAACAAATGCCTCGTTTATAATGGGTTTTAATGTTTTTGTCTCGTCGCTCCGGCCGATGTGCTGACGATTTGTGCTACCCTGTCAGATTTTGCTACCTCCCATTAAAACAGATGGTAGCATAATTCGATAGTGAAAGGTGCTAACTTACCTATCAGATTTTGCTTCCAGCATGATATTAATAAGGTGTGAGGCTTTATTAACATGTACACCTACCCCAACCCTAAACCTACCCTTACAGTAGGATAAATACAGTGTTGGTAGCATAATCTGATAGGTGGCATTATTTGTTAGAACACTGGACAGGGCATATGGTAAGGGCCGTAACATTTCCGTCACACGCTTGAGGTATTCGGCCAATCACAACGCACTGGATAGCTGGCCAATCAGAGCACACCTCGCTTTTCAGACCGATGAGCTTTGTAAAATCGACGCGTTTCATAAAGGCGGGGCATAGAGGAGAAACAACGTACAGTATGTGGAAAGTGTTTTTTGAAACTTAAACATTTCATTACACAAAATAATGTTCGTTTTAGCAGCATCATATGACCCCTTTAAATAGATGGCACATGTCTGATCCCAACAAAAAAAAAAAAGAAACGGATAAGCAGAAGAAATTTCATATATATATATAAAGCACACACACTTCAGCCATAAAGAATTTACAGGGAACATTTCAAAAGAGACCTTTGGTTTTCAGTTGAATTAAGCAACACGATCCGCCCATTAGCTCTCACACACACACGTTGTGGCATTGATCCCATTTTTAAACCATATTAAACTAACAATATTGTTCAAGTAAAAGCCTGTTCTGAAAAACACAATTGCGAAGACACAACATCATTGGATATGCAACTTTCAGTAAATACATCAATGAGAAATTTAACACTTTTTGAATGAGCTACTCACCATTAGATGAACACAGCGAGTCATCACACAACGGCAAAGATAGGCCCGGAGTATTTTACAAATAAAAAATTACGCGTGAAATAACAGCCAAATGTATAACTATCTGAAATCGCCCAGCAATCTTTAGGTCTTAAGGTATTTAGAATCAGCGATAACGAGCACTGCCGGGATTAAAGCACCGCATGTCCTTATGGTGAAACACTAAAACATAACGTTAACTTCACACTACTCCTTGAGTACTAACATAAAAACTCGCACTAACACACAGTAGAAAGACAGCAGAATACGAGCGCATTTGCCTGTCGTGTTTGAAAGTAGAAATCCCACCCCCGTCCACGCCAGTAGTGGTTAACTACGGTTTTGATTCATCCCAATGACTCGATTCTTTTGAATCGGTTCGTTCACTTGAAAGTTTTTTTTCAAAAACGCTGATTCGGTATTGAAAAACAAAAACCACATCTAATTCTGTTAGCTCCCATGGGGGCTGTTTCATAAAAGACGCTAAGAAAAGCGGGGATTAAAGTCCAAAACCTGACTTGAAATAACCTAACAAATCAATCGGGACTAAAGCGGTTTCATAGACGACAATTTAGTTTACGCAATCTCACTAATTCGATCCAGGTTCAATGAGTCAGTATAATTTGATGTGCACGCTTATTCTTAAGCAGCCCATAATGTCGATCATGGATCAAATCGACACACCATGGCAACAGGGGCGGTTCTAGGGGTACTGCCCCCCCCCATTTGGAATCATATCACACCATACAATTTTGGGTGAAATGCGCAGTTTGTCCTGTAAACTATGCATATAAAAAGAAAAACATCACCAGCAGCTAAATTCAAATCTGCGTTCGCTGGCTGGCACAGAGCCAGAGACACGCACGTTTTTAAAGCACTGCGCATTATAACCAATCCCATACTATTATGTTGAGTTTATGAATGCAACGACCAATCAGAGGCGTTCAGATGAGTCACCGCTGAAACACGCTTTTTCGTCACTGCTCGCGCTGGCTGACTGAAATCTCTGGCTAATTATCTCATCAGAAACAACAAAGTGAAGATGTACGAATGTAAGTAATATATTAATTTTACAGTGTAAACCGCTTTAGAGATCATTATGAGAGTTTTTGAGAGTGCTTGAATTCGCTGGACTGAAGTGAAAATGTTATTTGATAGTGTAAACGTTCTTTGCTTTCTTTTTGTACAATGAAAGTGTTATAGGCTAATTAGTAATTTACAATGTTTTTATTAACTTCACATTAAATACAAAGTCAGTCGTATTAAATATATTTAATAGCATGACACTATATCTGGTACTTAAGTAAAAAGACTAATTTTTATGCAAAGTTAATAGAATAATACTATTAGGCTATTTTACTGGAGAACTAACATAATCTATAAAGGTGCAAAATGCATTTACTTGCACATATTTGAGAATTGAGATATTTCATTATATATTTTGGGAATATTAAAAAAAATAAAAACCCCTGCTAAATAAAACATGGTTATATGTAATGGTTTTACTGGTTATAATGGGACTTGTATTGGTTTTACTGGAAACTGTAATGGACCCTGTTGGCCTCTACTGGTAATAGGTTGCCTTCTAATGGTGGCTTGTTAAAACCAATAAATCCTAATGGGATATGTCTCAAAACACACTACAGAAAACCATTTTTAATGAATAATTGATTGTTTGTAATGTTATTTGTTGTGGAAATCATTAACATTTTCTGTGATGGTTTTAATGATTTTTTTTTTTTCAGTAGAGAGACAAGCCTATATCTGTTTGTGGCTGATGTGTGTCATGACATAGTTTACATTGTTATAGATTACATCTAGATTGCAGTGATACATGACATGGTGAAAAATTACTGAATGAATAATAGGCTACTTAAAGTAGTTTAAGATGAATTTTAAAATTGTGCCCCCTAAAAGCACAAGTGGCCCCTGTCTGGCCCCCCCAGTTACTGTGGTCTAGAACTGCCCCTGCATGGCAAACGAATATTTGTGCCGTTTAATGCATTTTAGACATTGTGTTTACCTCATTGCATAACTGACACGTCACAGGTATAATGTTTCATTTGTAAATGTTAGAAAGTCATGCAAATATATCCATTTTGCTGTCAAGAGTGGTGAGGCTTACAGACGGCGCGGAATAGAATAATAGCGCAATGCTATTGCATTCTGCTAAAATATTTGTTGTTGGACATTAAATGTGACACATGTAGAATTTTATTCCTACATATAAGTGTATTTTTATCATAGCAGTAACTGTAAATCAAATGTAAGCTGGCTAATACAGCCCTACTATCTCAAACGAGTTAAATGTGTGTTGCTCTTATCAGTTAAAATGTAGTCTAATTTCTATTATTTATTTTCATTTTTAATTCAGTGGTTTTAACTTTTAATTTAGTGTTTTAAATGCTTTATTGCTTTAAAGAGCAATTTTAGATTGTAATGTTTTAATGTTCTACCAATAAGCATAAAGTACAGCTGTCATAAAATCAGAGAGAAGGGCTGCATGGCTAGAAACAGCTGATCAAAAGAAATGTGCATGTAGCAGCATGTTAAAATGTTTTCTTATATCTTAAACAAAGTCATTAAGGGCACAATGCATTAAATACGGCCTATATTTTTATTTATTTGATTTGTTTAAGTTGCATTTTCTGTATACTTTTATTTTTGGACTAATAATAAAGTCAAATAATTGTATGTGAGAGAGTCGGCGGTATTATCAACGCGTTCCTATTTGTCAGTGTTGGAGGAGCTCATCTTATCCTGACAGTTAGCCTGCTCCGGACCAGGTTAGCTTCCCAGCATAAGTTGCCAGAGTGACTGAGCCTGAGCTATGGTAATTTTGCTTTATGAAACCAAATCAAGTGAAAATAAGTCAGAGTAACTGAAATAAGCCTGACTTATTTGGTAAACTTGTTTTATGAAAAACATAAACCCCAGGTTAGTTTCCCAGCATTGCCAGAGTGACTGAGCTTGAGCTATGGTAATTTTGCTTTATGAAACCAAATCAAGTGAAAATAAGTCAGACTAACTGAAATAAGCCTGGCTTATTTGGTAAACTAGTTTTATGAAACAGCCCCCTGCAGTGGATAAGTTTGGAATTCTAATGCTATTCTAAACAGTTTGAATATAAGATTTAATCAGATGCCCAATTTGTCATGTTACAAATTCTAATAGAGCCACGTTTCTAGCAAAATGACAGAATGAGTTCCTCCAAGAGAGCAATAAATTACTTGGAGACTCTGTGAAGAAAACAGTCAGAACTGATGATTAATTCTGTTTTTAAATGATTGTGTAGAAAGCTTTTTTTTGTTCTTGATTTGTAGGTTTTTTTTGTAGAGTGTCAACCCGATTGTGCCACCTGGTGTTGCCTTATACATACTGCACAAAACAGTGCTGCACTTTCAGCTCTGTTCATGTGGGTAGACATTCTAACAGTTTGGCCTGTGAATTAATGTCAGCTCTCAGCATGAACAAACAAACAAATAAATATATCTGTCTACTTGTCATTCCCATTAATTGTTTTGACACACAGCCAGCACAATAATACAAGAACATTTTTTTATTATTATTCATTGCTCTTCACAGTTAAACCAGTTGTGGACAATAAACTGTCAAGAACATATTTCCATGTCGTGTTAATATGAAAAAGGTAGCATTTGTGTTATGTAAAATGTCTGTTTTATTATTAAAATAATATTAATAACAATGTATGTTTTATTTTATATTTTAGATGGAACATGAGCAGAAGTCCTAATCTTTAAATGATCATATATATAAATATTTAATTTAAATAAAGTCATGACTGTATACGTATACATTCATTATCTTTTTGAATCTCAACCCACTGATGCAGAGATATAATTAGTTTAAATTAGCAGTACTGAGTAAAACTATAGTAATAGCATCTGTAATGTAATGTAATGGACAACTTTATCAATATTAAAGAAAGAAACCCATTCATGCAAGTTTCATAATGAGAAATGAGGATTTATTTAATATTTATATGTAAGAAAAGTGTGCTATATGAGTGCTTATGTATTTTCATTGTCCATTTGTGCGCAAAATGCCTTTACTTCAGCACAACACCCACCTGAAATATGGAATACACAATATTAGTTTTTTTTAATTATATATATATATATATACACCACAGACTGCTTGATCACCTTGTCTGAGGCCATCTCAGGGCATCTCCAATTGTAAAGGTAATACTGCTTGTGTACATCTCCCATTCTGAACTTAAGGGGCTCCAAAAAAGCTTTATTATCCATTACATCCAGAGCAGAAAACACATCAAACCTTCTCTGAACAGAAAAGCAGATAGTACAAGGAGGGATGAGACCAGAACAAACAATACATTTAAAAGAATCATCATAGTTTGGATGTGACAGATGGGCAGTAAATGTCTTCATATGAGGCACTATCTATGTAGTCAGCTATATTATGTTGATATTTCCTTTGACTTACTGCTTTACAGATGATAAGGATGTCCTCCATTAGCTGCAGCAGCGGGGTAGACTTGCTGATGCAATAAAGAACACAGGCTGCCTTCAAGCCTTTATGCACAGGGTGGTTCAGAGCTGATGAGGGAAGTGTGTAGAAACTCACCATGTCAGTTATGGTCTTGGCCATGCTCTGCATAAAAAGTGACATTAATACAGGTCATGACAGCTAGATGTCTGAATAAAACAGTTTAAAGATCCATTTCATTATACTGACCTCCACAACATATGTGTCAATCACACCATCTTGAGGCAGAAGCCAGTGCTCAACATCCTCTAGGGTCAGAGAAGGAGAGAGATGAAAAGCCTTTAGATGTTCTCTCAGAAGAGCCTGAACCACTGGCATATCCTGCACAGTCATGGGGCGAAGGCCTGTGGTTTTTGTTGTCTGTTGTTATAGATATAGAGCAGAGAGATTATTGGAGTAATTAAAGGATGTGCAAAGTCCAAGGAACCTACTCTGGCATCTCAAAAATTGACTCCAAACAGAAGCAATGTAACTATATATCAAAGTGATTAAATTTGTAGCAAAAATGAGTACATCCTCCTACATATATATATATATATAATGAACACTTAAATATTAATTTAAACATATAGACAGTAAAATCAAATAGAGCATAAAGGTTAAAAAAGTGTCATGTTACATGATGGCCCTTAGGAGGGCAGTCTGACCTCAGGGAGCCGATTTAGCTTGATGGCACGCTGCAAGGTCATGTTACGAGTGAGAGAGGAGAAATTCAGCTCAATCAGCTTGCGTGGGTTCAGTGACCTGTGCCAATACCTTTTAACAACCATGGAAAGAAACAGAATTTAGTTGAAACAATACCACAAACAGCAGTGGGGGGTCTGGGAGAGTAAGAGAGATATCCTTATAACTTCCATCATACCTACAGCTTGCAACAGGTTTTGGTAGGACCGCACTGGTGCTGTAGATTGCTTGAGATATACCCTGCTGATGCACCCGTCTGGTGAGCTCCCTAATTAGAACTGGTGCCACTCTTTTTGAGCGAAGTTTTTTGTGTACACACAGGAAGTTCACCTCCACCATCTTTAACTCTCTGTAGAGTATTTTTACATTTACATCAACCAAAATTGTTTAAATCATTTTAACAGACTAAGAAAATTCTGCACTTACGTGTCTAATACTTCAATAGTAGCAGGAATGGCACTTATGAATCCCACTAGTTTTTGACTGGACTTAACTCGAACTCCACAATGCCACTGTGATTGCCATCCAGGGGGGCACAGAGCCCTGCATTCCATAAAGCAAAGTCCATACAACATGAATACAAATAATAAGATTATAGTTACTTTTGTAGCTATATGTCAAGAAATAAAACATACCAGAGCAAGAACTGTGGAGAGTAGTGCAGACGAAATGTGTTGTCATCCTCCTCTGTGTAGTTTTCATTCAGCAAGTCACACAGTTCTCTCAGCTACAATTACATAGAGACAGATAAGCTAACAGTAGAATGTCGGTCTGCCAGCATTTTTTTTTGGATGGCACAAACTCAGTGGTGCCATGGTTGACATGCCTGTAGTCTATCCAGCATTTTTACTGCGCTCTAACATAACATCTACAATCATAAAAAAATACTATCCTACTAAGAATTCCCAAACTAAACTAAATTCCTGCAAAAAAAAAAAAGTCATTCTATCAGGATGTGGTAGTGCCATTTTGCACCTGCAACTACAAAATTAGTTTTTGTACAAAATTTGTGATTTAATAATACAATAAGATTTTATTTTATTTTTTTGCAATGTTAAATGTGTAATTATTGATGTTTATTTATGTAAATGCTGCATGACTTTGACATGTTTAATGAGTGTGCATTGAACATTCAAGTAGCATTCCAAACGGAGCGGAAAGCGGAATCGGGGCAACAACACAACAACTGACAAACAGCTTTTATGGCTTACAGGTAAGTTGATTTTCTAAAATCACAAAAATAATACATCAAACATGACACATTCCCTAACTTCAAATGTATGTGTTTCTGTTGAATATTTGGTTTATATAAATGGCAGTGTTTTTGAAAAAGGCTATTTTCTTAGCTACACTTGTATAGAAAGGCAAGCATTTTTAGCATTTAGTACACCTCGCTTTACCAGTAAATTAAGGATATTTTTGTTCACTCTTGTACAATAAATAATTTTGGGACTGCATTGGTTCACAAAGACCTCTCACTCACCTGCTCTTGGTTGTCGAGATTGAGTGTGTCCCAAATGAATTCCTGTGGCAGTGAGAATGGCTCTTCTCGAACACTGGGCCTCTCTGACTCTACTGGTCCGTGTGATGTCACTTTCTCATCTAAAAAATAATGAATGCCGTTTGTTAGACATGCACACAGTTTCTACATGTTGTTTCTACCTGTGCACTGTGCATCATACCTATTTTAGGGACTGGCTGAGTATCCCAAAAGCGGTATGTGTGTCTCCGAGCCTCTTGTAGGTTCTTTGGAGGCCCATGACCAAAAGAAAACAGGTGTAGGGCTTTCTGAATCTCTTGTTGCTTCTCCTCAGAAAGAGAGTCCAGCTGGGAACAAATTCAACTGATAAGAAACGGGTAAATATACTCAATATACTCAAAAAATATCACGCATATAGATTATCAGTTACCATTTCAAAAGGGTCTAGTGGCCCCTCTTTAGCCCATGTTTGGCCCTTGTGTTTCTTTGTCTTCTTGCCTTCATCTCCCCTGTCTTCCTCTAAGCTCTTTTCACTGTATAAAAACATTACAATATAAAATAGAAATAAAAAGAGACAAAAATTATAATGAATAGATAGAGCACTTACAGATTTTTCTGCTCAGCCATGAAAGTGTTTTCAGGTATTAGAGCAGCAACAATGTGGTCATTCAGCTCTGTAGTTTTGGGTGTTTGAGGAGTAGGAGCTTATCTTAATGTGCAGTGAGGGCAGGAGGGAGACACCCAGCCTCCATCATGAGTATCCACCAATCCGTTGCCTTCCACACCCTCATGCAGTGATCCCTTATCTTAGTGCAGCACTTCAAGCTGGCCTTCAAAGCCATTAATAGAAGAGTTTAAACCATCAAACATCACGTTTTGCAAGTGGTTTTAGTACCTTTACTTGGGGCAATATTAGTTTCCCCTCATCATTACTTTAAATTTCAAGATTATTTTTCATCATAATGCTGTGATTTAAAAGTTTGTTGTAAAACAAATATGTTTAGTTTGCTATAATATGCCAACAGAAGCCCCTAATACAAATGAGTATGATTCTGCAATCCCGGAGACTGCTGTCAGAGAGACACCTGTCCCGCCAGATCCAATCACCACTCCAGCATGGTCCCAATCACCTGAGTATTAGGCCCAATCCCAATTATATTTTATTCCCCTTCCCCTACCCCTCCGCCTACCCCTTCCCCTTGTCCCTTGAAACAGAGTGTCAAGGGGTAGGGGTGAAAATATTCCCCTAAGAATTGGGACACCACTACTATGCCGTCACACGTCATCATACGTCGTCTAGCTCCCACAATGCACACACCTATACTGGTATGCTGGTGTGCATTAGAGCCTTTATATACAGTGGGTACGGAAAGTATTCAGACCCCCTTACATTTTTCACTCTTTGTTATATTGCAGCCATTTGCTAAAATCATTTAAGTTAATTTTTTTTCCTCATTAATGTACACACAGCACCCCATATTGACAGAAAAACACAGAATTGTTGACATTTTTGCAGATTTATTAAAAAAGAAAAACTGAAATATCAAATAACAGTTTAAATACTGAATCGCTACATTATATTTTCCAACAACAAGAGGATAAAATCGCTGTTTTTTTAAGTAAACTCACTCCAAAAAGAGAAACGCACAGACGCGCATATACATGCATCTTTCATCTCTCTCTCTCTCTCTCTCTCTC